TACTAAGCCATGCTGGTGGAGGAGGATTAACTTGGACAAATTCAAGCTGGCGAAGACAACGCTGCGGCATGTACGCCTCTACGATCTCACGATACTGAATCAGTCTCGTGTAGAGGGTCCTGGGTACCCTATTACTAGGATTCTGGCCGAAAGGCATCCAGTTCACCTGCACCAAATTTTTTCAAATAGTAAGATTCATATAATAAACACATCAAAGAATAAAAGTAGAAATAATTTAAACACTTTAACTCTAATGGGGACATCCTGTCAAGCAATAACCGTATCGATCGCAGGCCCTCCTCCGGCCAAGCATCAGCCCAACTACGCAAAAAGTTACAAGTCTTTTCCCGGGTTTGGCATTTCAAAATGCCCGTATCCAAAGCCCTCTCCTGGTCCTCCCAGATACGTGTAGCGATGTGTTCTAGAAAGCTAGGAATCACACTCCCGTCTACAGGTCCCCCATCCACCTCACCCCTCACCATCCAAGAATCATTAACGGCCCTCGACCGTTTTCAGCTAACCACAGACACAGTGGACGCAGATGATGTGTCAGATCTACTAACAAATCTACCATCTCTACCCTTACGCACATCTACCCTATGCGTCTCATACATATCATCAAGCCTCTAACCGAATGGATCGTAATCATCATGTGGTCCACTCTGATCGTCCACATCCTCATCTACATCCTCCTCCTCCTCCTCATCACCATCATCATCTTCATCATCCTCAAAATAGTGCACCCGTTCTCTGCGAGCCGAGGCCGAAAAACCACAGGATCTAACGTGTCTGGGCTCCGAGCTCTCCACTGAGTAGATTGTACTTCTAATAACGTCCATACTCTTCCCCGCACCAGGTCGAAAATGCGATGCCTAACTCCATTTAAATAACGAAAAATAATAGCAATTGTTATTATTATTATTTATATTAATAATCTATTTTTAAAAGTATCAACAACAAAAAATAGAAATACCTAACCAAAAAAATATCAAATAAACAAAAAAAAATACTAACAATTTGACATTAAAAAGAAAAGTACACAACACCGAAAAAAAAATTTAAACAAATTAGAAAATACACACAAAAAAAAAATACCAAAACATACAAAATAAATATGAACATAAAAAAAGTAAATAAAATAAATAAACAAAACAATATACAAATAATTGAAAAAAATATAAACATAAAAAAAAAGGACAACAAATTTGAAAAAAAAAATATAAACATAAACAAAACAATATAAACATAAACCTAAAACAAAAAAATATAAACAAAAACAAAAAAATATAAACAACAAACAAAAAAATCAAAAAGATAAACAAAAACAAAAAAATAAAAAATACAAAGAAAAAACAAAAAAAAATGGAAACCAAAAAAAAATAATTACCAAAAAAATTGAAACAAAACCCCAAAAAAAAAAAAAAAAAACTGGAAAAAAATCCAAAAAAAAAATAATGAAAAAAAATTAAAAAAAAACCCGGATTAAAAAAATAAATGAAAAAAAATTTAAAAAAAAGGGGGCAGCGCCTTACCTTAACGCCAGAGCCACGGTGGCGTCGCCTGGGTAGGACACCTAGGCCACGGTGGCGGCATCCACGTAAGACGCCGCCGCAGGCACCGCCACCGTGGCCCTGGCGTCTGGGTAAGGCGCCGCCACCGTGGCTTCGCCGCCAACTCACGGTTTTTTTTTTATTTTTTTAAATTTAAAAATACCTTTCCACCACGTGACCGCCTTCCCTTCGCCACCGGTTCCGCCACTTCCTCGCCTTGCCGCTTCGACATTTTAAAAAAAAAGATTAGAGAGAGAAAATGAGAGTAGAGAGTAGAGAGAAGATGAGATTGTGTTTTTTAATTTGTGGGCAAAAGTGTCATTTCACTTCAAATTTGTGGGTTTTATGTAGAGATTTGCGGGCGATATTTAGCAGTTCACTCCCTCAACATTTTAAAATAATATAATAATAAATGAGTAAATATCCATTAATCATCATTAAGTAGATCAAGGTGCCAATTTGATTTATTAAAAAAAAAAAAAAAGGTATCAATTCGGTTCAATATATATAATATGAGTTTTGATTTGGTTTTGGTTTTGGTTTTGGTTTGATTTTAAGTTATATTCAAAATCTATATGCATTAACTTTTTCCTTGGATCATAGGGTGGAATTGGAATCGGAGCAACACTTTTCTTCTACTAGGGCGGCTAACGCGCTCGATGCGCGTGCCATTGTTAGCCATTTTGGAGAGCTCTTTCGGGTTGGTCTTATGTTACAACTTTAGTTATTGGCAACATTAACGAGAGAAAATGTGTAAACAAATATTTTTAGGAGGATATTCCTCACACTATTCTTAACTCTTAAGAGTTCAATAAAGAGATAATTAACATTAATGAGGGCATATACGTAATTAATCATTTTAGAGGGTTTGATTGTCCAAACACTATTCATAAAAGTTATCTTAAACTTTTTATAACATAGGGATAGGGAAACTCCAACTCATAACTTGCACTTGGTCAAGGTTAGAAAGAATAGAGGATTTAGCTTCATTCTTAAGAATCTTCTTCTACATTGCAAGATATCATGTCTTTTTCTCATTCCCTTAAACTCTTCCTCCTTGAACTTTTTCTATCGAGGTTGGATGAAACCTGGCCACAATCTTGAAGAACCTTCATCCCAAAACTTGTTCTATCTTGCACTTTTGAGTCCCCCGCATGCTTCAAGGTCTTGTTGTAAGGGAGGGGGGATTTGATTCTTGCACCTTTTGCACGAATTAGATGAAGATGTTTCCATTGCTCTTACCTTCACATATGATCTCAATTTTGAGTCAAAATAACTAAGAACCTCCACTTGACTCAGCAATTAATACTCTACATGTATGTTCCCTAACAAAATGGTAATCAATTATGATATCCATGCTTCGATCAACTAGGTAACATCGCAAAATATGATGCGAAACATGATCACAAAATATATATATATATATATATATATATATATATATATATATATATATATATATATATATATATATATATATATATATATGATAAGTCCTAACTCAGCTAGCATGCAACGAATGTAAAAAGTGTCTAATACCGCGTACGCAACAACTAACATGACACTATGCTTTTGTGGAAACTTGGAAACTATGGATTGTTTCTTGAGCACCAGGAAATAAGATTGTCCTCGAGATAAATAGCATAATCATTGATAAACGACAGCTATTAGGGCTACTTGCCCAATTTGCATCTAAGTATGCAATCATAATAAATTTATTCTTTGAAGGACAAAGCTATATTTCAAAGTTTGAAGCATGTTGCGAGTACCTATATACTTCATGCTGCTTGACAACAACAAGCGAAATGTTCAAGATGCATGCATAAACTAAAAATCTAATTGCACATTATATGTAATATCAAATCCTTTCATAGTCAAGTACTGTGAATCACCAACTGTATTGCGATACTCAGTTACATCAGGCAATAAGTTGTACTTGTATCAATTTATATCTTCCTTTATGCATCACTTCAAACCTAAACCTATCACTTCTTACTTACCTTTATCCATCAGAGGTGAACTGCACTTATTTTTGAACAATCCTATATAATCTTCATACTTTTCATCATGTAGTAACTGTAGTTGACAAGCATACCACAATTTGATTAGGTTAACCATAAAAAATGCAATATTTAGCAGGCTTCACTTGAGCATCACTCATTTCTCTTACAACTAGTTTCGCAGCAAGACTTAGGCCGTTTAACTGTCAATGACCCACTTCATATACTATCATCTCATGGTTGTGATACCCCCATTTACCGTAACCCTTCACTTCCCAACCGTCACGACTTTGCTGTTGTCGAACCTTTACTCTGAATTGATACCCACAACCTTTCCGCTTTGTATCAAACCGAATCGCTTGACTAAAATCTCGTTCCTCCCTTTTGCGATAACGGTCGCATCTAAAAATGCGATCCATTCTACCAACCCTTTTGAGATTTATGACTTGCTACTACTAAACAAAAACCTGATCTAATTGCAACCTGTTTTGCCCAATCAATCGCTTGTTGAGCATCTTCGAACGGACCATCATGTACAAAAATCCCACTATAACCGTCTCCACCATAATCCTGCAACAATGACATATAAGTATAATTACATAAGGATTAAATTAATACATTTGACACAAAATTAACACATAAGTAATTTCTAAATTTTAAATTTCTAAATTTCATTTCTATATTTAACGCATAATACATTTAATTTCTAAGTTTACACATAATTAACACAAAATTAACACGTAATTATATATAAAAGTATTCACACACATACAAAATTAAAACATAAATTTGTTTATTTTTTGAAATTATTAACACATATTAAAACATAATTTCAAATTAAACCATAATTTTGTTTTTTTTTTCATAAATTATTAACACATATTTAAAACATAATTTCAAAATGAAATTTTGTTTTTTTTTTTAAATTATTAACACATATTTAATTTCAAATTTTTTTAAAAAAAAAAAGCAAAAACAAAACTTTAAATAAAAAAAAAACAAAAAAAAAAAAATTAACTGTGGCGGTGTCGCCTGGCCGGGACGCCGCCACCGTGGCTGGGGCGCCTGGCCAGGACGCCGCTACCGTGGTAGTGGCGATCCAGCCAAACGCCACTACCATGGTGGCGACGTCCTGGCCAGGCCCCCCCAGCCACGGTGGCGGCGTCCCGGCAAGGCGCCACACCCACGGCGGCGGTGTCTTGGCCAGACGTCCGCCACCAAATCGTTATTTTTTAACGCAAAGTACCTCGTTTACCGGCGACGATGACGGCTCTCCAGTGTATCTCGCTGACGATGACGGCTCTTCGGTGTCCCTCGGCGATCCAGTGCTGCTCCACATTTTTGGTGAGAGAAAATTTCGTTTCGAGTAAAAATTAAAAAAAGGGTAAAAGTATCAAAGTTTTAAAAATTGTGGGTTTTAAGTAGAGAATTGTGGGCGATTTTTAACAACTCGTTAGGTTTTTAGGTCAAGTTTTTCAACTTTCAACTTCCAAAGTTCAAGCCCTTGAGGCATAAACCCTGAATTAGGGGTTTAGAACAACTCCTCCTCCTTCTCTTCACTCTATCAACACCCAAGGCCACCATAAACTCCCGGCAGCCGTCGGCACATTCACCGCACACATCGCTAACAATGTCTCTAATCGCCGGCTCATATGAAAAATTCATCTGGGGCTACAAACTCCGACAATCCAACCCCACCTCATCCGACCAAACCCTAACCCTAAACCCCCAATTCTCCTACGCCGCCCATCTTTCCCCCATCAAATCCGTCGCCGTCTCCGGCGTAGTCGCCGCCTCTTCCGCCGGCGACGACACCGTCAAACTCTACGACCTCGCAACTTCCTCCGAACTCGGCTCTCTCCTTCTCGAAACTTCCGTTACTTCTCTCTCCTTCTTCACCCCTCCTTCTCTCTCCTCTTTCCCTCGCAATCTCTTCGCTGCTGCCGATGACGGGTCCTTCTCCATTTTCGATGTTGACCCTTTTGTTCTTCTCAAGACGATTCAGGTTCATAAGAAGGGGATTAATGATTTGTGTGTTCATCCTTCTGGGAAATTGGGTTTGTCTGTTGGAAGAGATTCTTGCTTGGCAATGGTTAATTTGGTTAGAGGAAGGAGGAGTTTCATATGTAGGTTAGAGAAGGAAGCTAACATTGTTGAGTATTGTTCTGGTGGGGGTAGGTTTTTTATGGTTTCTGATGGGAAAATTAGTCTTCATGAGGCTGAAGATGCCAAGATTGTTGGGGAATTTGAGAGTGCTAAGCGTGTTCTTTGTGCTGCCCCTGGCGAGGTTCGTGTTTCTCCCCGGTTTAAATTTCAAAATTTGAGCTGTTTTGTGGTGTTAGTATTGCTTATATTAACATAATTTAGTTTGTTCTATGATTATGCAAAGTTAATATCTTTCCAGTTATATAAATGTGGACCTTAATTCTGAAAGAATGTGGGTTTTGGATGCAGAATTTTTAATTTTGTGCTGTTTATTTGTGTTGAGGTGTGTGTTGGGGGGGGGGGGGGAGGAGTTGGAAAGTTGATTAAAAAGAATAATATTTAGTGGTTTTATCTGTTCAGGACCCTTAAATTCCAGTTAATATGTCAGTCGCTTTCGATTTCTAGGACGAGCCACTGTGGCTAAGGTTTTATTTTGCAATGAATCATGTATGAAATTCAAGTATTTGTGATTGCATTTTTATGTGTTTGGATTCAGTTGAGTTGGGTTATTGGTAATAGAACCAAGCTCAAAACCAAGTATTTCATATCAAATTTGGGTTCCAAGTCTTTGCTTTTGCCATTTCTGAAGTCACATTAGTGTTCTAACTCAATTGTGATCCAGCACCTAGAAAAAAATAGAATTTTTGTTTTGGGAGGGCTTTAATTGTAGTATTAGCGTAGCATAGGGGCGATAGGGCTTAATTTATAATTATTTGTATTTTTTTTTTTGTGATTGTGGGAATACTTTTGATTGATGGCTTCAAATTAATTGTTGCAGAATGGACTTATTTTTACTGGTGGGGAAGACCGTGCACTCACAGCATGGGACACAGTTAGCGGGAAGGTTGCCTACAGCATAGAGGATGCGCACAAGTCCCGTGTAAAAGGAATTGTTGTGCTCTCTAGGGATGGAAATTCTGGTGCTACTGAAAATCCTTATTTATTGGCTTCTGCATCTTCAGATGGAGTGATCCGTGTCTGGGATGTACGTGCTACCAACAAAGAAAAGTCAAAGCCATTGTCTGAGGCCAATACAAAGTCACGACTAACATGTCTAGCTGGATCATTAAAAATGTGAGTTTTATGTCTAATTTTTTTTCCTCGTGCTTTTTACTTGCTTATTTTCTAGTAGTTTGTTTGCTGCTAACTTCCTGTCTCCCTGTCTTTGTCTCATACACCTAGGTATATCGTGTCAGTTTCTTTTATGCTCCTATTGTCAAATTAATTAAATCGTAGGTTGGAAAGATATTTTCTATTTTGGATGATACCGCTTAATTTCTTAAGGAGTATGTCGTATTTTGTAAGAATGTAATCATGAGTTTAGAGCAACATGCCATTAGAAAGATGTAACTTAGAACTTGCATAGCCTGTACCAAACATTAAGATTTCTAAGGAGATTCTTGATTTGTTTCCTGGGAAGGTTTGCTAGGGAGCCCAACTATCATGTGTTCAAGTTGAGTATAATATTAGTCTGTTACAAAATAACTGAGTAATATGACAACTTGACAAGAGCTGAATGGAGAAAAAGAATGCTCCAAAGGAAAAAAAGAATCCCTCTTGGCTTGTTATCCTGCAGTTCATAAAGATTAAAACCATTTGCTGCTCAGGTTCAACACATTCTGATGAAATTTATTTCAGAATGAAAATCTAAAGCTCAATGATGCTGGAAGCCATCCATTTGATACTGGAAGAGATTAAGGTTGTAGCACTGTATAAATTTGCTGCAATATCAACTTACATATAGATTTAGCGCTTTTAACTTTGTTGTCTGACCCTGTGGTGCTGTAGTGAATGATATAATATCTGGCAGCGGTTGTTGATACCAAAGGCCTTTTCGGCCTGAAGTTGATGCATACCTCTAGATCTATCAACACTTCGCAATTACTCTATGAGTAAAACCTTCATGGTATCAGTAACATCTCAACTATTTTTGGTAAATACTGGGGATTACTGATTAGGTTCACTTTATCTAGTGGTCAGGATAATTCAATGTTTCATGCTTTCATCTATTTTTTCTTTTGTCATTGATGATCCTCTGATGATTAAATAAATTCCATTTACCCTTAGTAGTCTTTTTCCCTCTCTATGGCTCTATGCACATATTGGCATGTATATCTATTTATATGCATGTTGTAATGGAGTCATTTTTTGGAATGCTTATTTGGGATTGAAGCAAAAATTAACCGGCAGCTTAAACTGGATATGGTGGCACATAATTTAACAGTTTCTTTTTCCTAGCTTGAATTGGAAATTAAATTACTCGAAGCTGTGACTGAAAATGTGAAGTGTTTGTTAGTTAAGCCAATAGATGATCCAGAATTTGTTAGCTTTGGTAGATGTATGTAAACTCTTTTGAGAAACTAACCAGGAGGAATATGGTTGGTGATTAAGTAGCTATGTAGAATTTTCTAGAGTGATTAAGGGATTTAGGATTGCTGCTAGCAATTGTGCACAAATCTTGTGTTTTGATGGGCATGAAATTCTATTGGGCTTATGGTAAATATGCTGGCAAATCTTGCTAGGATGCTCTAGTGGTGATTGTGTTAATTCGTTTGTATATGGTAGCTGATGGAATGGTCGTAAATATGTAAGCTTTTACCTTACCATTGTACCTGACAGACCAGCTGCCCCTTGTTACTCTTTTTAGACGACTTGTTGCATTGATAATGTTTATATTGCAAACAGTAACAGTGTGTCTGAAATGGAAAAGGATACAGTAACACGGATCGAATGTAGCTGTGATGTAAAACACTAGGCATCTAGGCTTAATTATTTAGCTGCCAGCAATTCAGGAAATCATTAAAGGAAAACCATGTTAGTCTATCTATTTGAGCAAATTGAACACTTCTATAGTTTTATGTAATTAATTTGCGCTCACTTGCTATTGGGTTTAAGAGTTGTGTTGTGTCTCAATATAACCATTTTGCTTTCAAATGGGATGAATTTAATGGTTGATTGAATGTTCAATTAAGTGAAATCTGACAATTTGAGTATAGGAATTCTCCACTTGCTAACCGCTTACCAACCTATTACTGTTTCAGAAATTGTAGAGTTTGCTTAATTGGACTCTTTAACCCTTATACTTGCTTACTACGGATTAATAAATAACATTGCAATTTCCTTGGGTTCTAAAGGACAAGGGATGGGATAGAGTTGAGCTGTTAAGTTGTATTCTGAATTGTTCATTTTTATTCCAGTGTAATTTCATATGTTAACTGCTCTGATTGATCAATTCTCAAATTCGGGCACAATTAATTGTGGCGAAATTTTTCTGTAATGTAACCTACTAGATTTATTTGAAGATTTGGCACAATTTTTGCGCATTGGTCATACTTTCTGAATCTTCATGCTTTCTTCAAATTAAAGTTTTCTTGTTTTACTTTTCAGCTTTGAAAAAATCACAGTTGACAAAAGATTCTCCTGAGAATGCTGTAGAAATGGAAGAATCATAGTGTGGCATAATGGGGAGCTGATTAACTTTGCTACTTTATAAGTCTAAACTTGTGTAAGTATTATATAATCTGTAGAGCTGCAGAACATGATCAGATGTGCTCATCAATCCAATTTTGAGTGGAAACAATTATAGCATTCGGAATATTGCATTTAGATAAATTTTTGGTTTTGTTTTAGAGCTCTTTTAGAGTTTTAGTTTAAATGCTGCAGCTTAGTTATAGAATGTATGTCTTTCTTAGCAATAGCTGCTTTGATAAAATCTTATGATTCTGTAATTGAATTGTCAATTTATGGACGAAGTGCTTGATAGTTGATACTTTGTTGGTCAAACCGTGTTCCTTAGATCTTATCAATTAGCATGACTGGATTATTTTGTATAATACTGAATCATGAAATCAATTGTTGTTTTTCAAGCTGAACTTTTCCTATTCATTTTGTATAACACAGTTTTATGTTAGCTAACGGTGAAAATTATAGTACTGAATATTACATTGAACAACTCTTTAGTATGGCACGAGACTCGAGCAGTATTCCGAAGATAGGTAAATTAACCAATGTTGTTCAATTTTTCAAATGAATCGGAGGAAAAAACCTTTACTTTGTGATCAAAATAGATCATCTTTCCAACATTTAAAGAAAATTCAATTGTCGCAACTTGTTTTGAATTCTTACTGTACCTGATAAAACTGAGGCTGAGCAAAAAAGCTGATTGACTAGAGTATATAGCCAAAACTTCATAATTTCATATATGAATACACTATCTTCGAACGAATTTACAGCATAGAAATCTAAAGCTGATCTGAAATTACTAAATTTATACATTGTTATCTGCATCTATCATGTAACTTTTAAGAACTCATAATCCTCAGGCGACAATGCATCTAGAGAGAAAATAAAAGGTAAAAAGTGAAATGAATACAGGTAAAACATAAACAACTCCATTAGGCATATAACCATCAATAGTGTCTTCCTCGAAAATGGTCTCCAATTTAGGAGGACATGAACACTTCCTGCTTCTTCTTCGAATTGTTGGAATGACCTCGATATGGTTTTGCATATGCCTCATCACTGAACTTACTGTGTGTTCCTCGACTCGAGCTTTTTTCTTACTCAGATAATTCGCCAAACCGATTAATAAGACTAGACTCTGAGAAGTAAAGAGATTGATGGATGGATGAGTTTGCTTGCTTTGGAAAACTAGTTTGTGTGGTTAGGGGTATATAAAGTGACGAGTATAGTAGGAAGAAAGTTATGTTTATAATTCATGCACAATTATAAAGTGTGAATTATTGAGAAGCAACAACAACGTGGGCAAATTGCTTAACCGAGTGAAATGAAATGGTTGCTTAAATGGATGGTTTTGTTTTATGCAATTATTGGTGACAAAACTGCCAAATAAGATTTAAATTATGAATTTAATTCAATAAAAGGAAATGTTGGTTAGCTGTGTAACAAATCTGTTGCCAATCTTTGGTGGGGTGAACGATTGATGTTGATTGTTTTAACACGTGGATCAGAGACCGCGTCAGGAAAATCACTACAGTGTATGTACTGTATGCAGACGTGTAGTGTCAGGTACTGACAGATGACAACCTATCATTTGATATTATTGTCTTTTTGACGTTTCGGTTTTAATTCAGATTAGTCCAAATCTAATACAATACGTGAACAAACTAATAATAGATTAGTCAATATCTAATACGAAGTATAATACATGAATGAATAAATGATAGACGAAGTTAATTTTCGGTTGCTTCTACATCACTTAATTACGATTGTCTGACCATCCTTTAGCCACACTGACACATCGAAGATTTCCATAATTTGGTTCTTTAATGTCATTCCTGCTTGAAATCAGATAAAACAGTAATTAGAGCTGCAGCTCATGATCAGATGCTGTGCTCGTTGCTGCAATTTTTACATACACCTTGATTATTGATTACTGATATTGTTTTATGAAGTTTCTATTTTGATGGTGTATGTTACTTTGTTATAAGATTGTTGTTAATTTTATTATTTGATACTTCGGTTGGGAAATTCAGGTATTGGCAAGGGGCTTGGAGATGGCCACATTGCCCAGAGGTCTTGTTACTGTGGCCTGTAGGGGAGTCGTGTACTAACTTGATTTTTTTTCGTGAAGTTAATCGTGCTGCAGATTGGCTATGAGACCGCGGAGTAAGGCTAACATAAGCTAATTGTGCTGCAGATTTCGTTAAAATCTTGGTAGGACTACATAGTTAAGAGAGCCTTTTAAGTTAAGAATTATAGTAAGAAAAAAAAAATAGGCGGAAAGTTGAGATGGAACACAAATTGTTTTATATATTCACATTATAGTATTAGTACAACATTGGTTAAGATCATCCTATATCTATGACATAAATTTACAGTTTACAGAACAGAAATCAACTTTTATTTGGAATTTCCCAAAATTTCAATTGATTTCTAAAACATCAAATACAGCCATATAAAATCTAACCCCTTAAAAGTTAAAACCCTCGAGATAATAAAAATGTAAAAGTGACGAGTGAAATATTATTAAACAGGTATTCGTACAAGATAAACAGCTCCTTTAGGCATATCAACAAAAAGAGCAGTATCTTCCTCAAAAATGGTCTCTAACTTTGGAGGACTTGAACACTTCCTCTGTCTCCTAACATCGGAAGCCGGTGTCGGAATGACCTCGATACATCTTTGCATATACCTCATCTTGCAGATTCTTAGATTTTGAAGTACTTAAAGGAGTAAGAGTTTTAGAGAGATTATAGAGAGTGGTTTAGGTTGTAACTTTGATGAAAAAAAATGAATGTGTTTTTTTTGGTTTATAAAGTGGTGAATAATGCAGGGAAAGAAAGTGGGTGGAAATTGGTGGTTTTATGAGTAATTTGTATTTTTGTTGTGAAGATAAAAAATTAAGATTAAATATTTGAGAAAGCATGAACAACGTGGCCATGAAAGTCAAATCTGTGGTGTTGGATTTTGCAATTATTGGCAACAAATTATTAAATTAAAGCTTGCAAAATTAGATCAATTAATAAATAATTAAAGTTAGAGAGAATTTATGCCTAAACAATATTGTGGGACCGGCGGGCGGGTGACGGCTGACGGCACTTGTGTTTGATTAACACGTAGAGCCGACCCACATCATGGAAATTCACTAGTGATAGTGTACACCATACCTTAGGTTTAATATGTGCATCATTTCATGGAACAAATTATATGCAACAATTAGAGCATTAATAATGAAGGATTCTTAAGGAAAGAAAGATATTGAGAGCTTAATTCTTATGTAAGAAATGAGAGTGTTTAATTGGAGTTGTAAATGGAGCTTCTGAAATAATAGATAATTTGTCCTGCTAAGAGCTAGTGATATGTCACCCTATATTTAATATGGATATTGTTTCGGGGTTTTTTGATGTGTCCTGCGGGAGAGTTACAATTCCTAGTATGCACAATTCGACGTTTGTACCTGCAAAATTACGGAGACTCCGGCTGGGGGTTGGAGTTCCGCCTCCGACGATCAAGTTAGAATGCGTCTAAGGTAAAACATACGGAACAGTAAATACTTCTCGCTGATTGGGAGAATTCTGCAATTATTTATTGCTCGGGGTTTGTGTTTCGATTTGTGTATCCCCAATAAATGAGGTCTGCCCCACTATTTATAGTGGGGAAGTTCAATTCCCCTATTAGGGTTCAAAGGACACGTGTCGCAAAGGGATTGGGGCCTATGCTGACCACTGAGGGGATGACACGTGTCAGGGGCCTATTGGGCCACGCATCTAGGGTAATTTTTACCCTAAATATCTGCCCCTCATAGGTGTGACGTGGCTTGGCCACGTGTCACTTGTGACAGGCGTCAGAAGCTTGGGTAAGTGACGGTTGGTCTACTTTCCCGCCTCTTCCCCCCCCCCCCCTTTTTTTTTTTTTGAATTTTGAATTCTAGGGCAGAAGGTGTCTATTCACCTTCTGCTATTTTCTTATAAATAGGGAATGACCTCTCTCTTTTCAACACTTTACATATTCTTTCAAAAAATTTCCTCGAGAGCTCTGACACCGGCTGACTCTTATTTCCCAAAAATTCCTCTGCATCCGGCTACTGAAAGTCAAACACATCCGGTTACCGATTGGGCATCTCCTTCATCATCTTACCAAGGTACCGGCTGACCTCTCTTTCTCTTTTATGCTTTGTTAACCTCAACCGGTAATATACCGGCTGGGGTCTCTTTAAATTGTCTTCAAAGTGACACACTATACCCTCAGGCGGTTGTATACCGTCTGGGGTATTACTGAACAATATAGAGCTTTTTCATAGTCCCACTGCCGGTTGTATACCGCCTGTAGAATCTTCAAAATTTTTCAACTATTTTCAACATACCCTCAGCCGGCGATGCACCGCCTGGGGTATTCGAGGGTAATTTGTAACTTTTCATAAACCCACAGCCGGTTGTATACCGCCTGGGCTTCTTTTAAACATTATGCTGCTTTCATGAGACCCTCATCCGGTTTTACACCGTCTGGGGTACTTTTGAACCCATCCCATGGATACCGTCTTGGGTATCTTTGAGGAGCTTTTACAAATTGCCTTGCAACTTTCTGAATAACCACAGGCGGATACTTCCGTCTGTGGTATTTTTGAGTGATTTTTTAGAAAGACGGCTGATTATTTATCTTGCTTTCTCAGCTTTAAACACATCCGGATTCTACCGCTTGAGACATCTTCAAGCCACTCTTCCAAATTACGATTGCCTTTATCAACTTCTCTACTTTAAGGTACAACTTACATCCTTTGCTGTTCTTTAAGCTTCCCAATTTTCGGTTGTGCAGTTTGTATATAGTAAATGGGGTCTTTCAAAACACACACGACACAACCTACGACAGTGGTCAGCAGGTCACCTGAGACGGCTGAGTCTAGGACTGGGGATGTCGTCTGGGGGTGTTTGGCCATCCTTCATTTACCTCAAATCCGACCGTCTCTGTTCATGTGCAGGACAGAATGGCTCGGACCAGATGGACGGCAACAGATCCCGACTATAAGTCTGATGACGCAGGCGTCGACCCGACTGTACCCATAAATGAAGACCAGGCCGAAGAGTCGTCTGATAGGGCACCTTATGATGCGCCTGGTGCCCCTAATACCCCGGATGACAGCATCCTTGATGAATCCGACTCAGCCGACGAAGAATTCGGCGAAGAGTCAAGCTCTAAAGAGTCTTCAGAGGCAGCCGCTACCATTGATGAGGAGACCTATAAGTGGCCGCCTGGAGGGAACCCAACTGAGGCTAGTATGACCGCCAGGGATGTGGTCACTTTAAATGCCACATTTCCTGCTTTTTTGGAGAAGAAGCTGGTTGGGGCAGGATGGGAAATAGTAGTACCGCCTGTAGAGGCAACTGTTGTCTGGGAAGATGACATTGAG